GTCATTCATCTGTTTTACATTTCTATTTTGGTCACCTATCTATTTTATTTTTCAAAATCATGCTAAACAATACATTTTGTTTATGTTTTGGTTATCTGTAATTAAATTTGATAATTGATTTAATGAATATGATGATGTGGCATGATGTAATAACAATATTAGTCTATGAAATTTTCATATCAATCCAAGTGATCCTAGATCGCAAATTTTCAACCCTCGTTGCGCCTATGATATCATCCACAGGAAGACTGCCTCGGGATAAACCTTCCCACAGGGTTTTTTGTACTCAGTTTCTTAAACATATTTGCACATAAATCCCTTGTAAATTCAATTCTTTCCGTTTATGGTTCTTCTTCACACACTTTATCCAATAAATCCAAGTACCCAATCCTGCAGAAACTAGGTTGGATCACTGCCCATATTGGAGACCCAATCTGTTAGAAATATAATATAATAGAATAGTTGGTAATGGTTTAGTCAAAATTAACTGAGTTTGTTAAAGGTTGGTTAGTTTGTTAGATCAAGTTGTTAAACTTGGTTTAGTGGTGCTATATAAGTATTGTTTGTAATGGGTTAAAGACTCAAGCATTTTGTAATTCATTTCTTCACATTTAGTAAACATAGTTGCCTCTTTCACAGCTTCTCATCTTCATTCACTATCATTTACCTTTCGTTCATCTCCTGGTCACTATGTCTCCTTTATCACATAGTAGCATTCGCCGAAGATCCTGAAGCCGCTGCTTTCGTCATAATTATCATCTCCACCACTTTCTTCATCCATGATTTCGTTGTTTCTTTGCCACTCATCATCTCTAATATGATGTCGTCTTTATTCTATTGTTGTTGTTCCATTCTTTTATTGGGTTCCTCAATCACAACGAGGTTTCCTCCGACGCCTCATTCGCCAAATCATGCATCCTCAGCCATCATGAATTTTGTCATCGCTCTTTTTGTTCGTCGATCGACTTCGTTCTTCCTTGACAATTGGTTATTCGTTGGTAATAGCTTGACATCCTTGTGGTTCAGACTCTTTCTTGCGTTTCTGTGGTCTAACATGCACGGATTGCATTGATGATCAGAAAATACCAGATCTCATATTCTTTGTTGCATGCAACTATCGTTGCTTGCTTTCTATTGCAATTGTTTTCTCTACAGGATTTCTCGCTCTTAAAGGGGTAAAGCGTTGAGGTCTAGTTGCTATTTCTGCTCCTGCGAATTGTTAAATAACACATCTTATGTTTTTGGGTTGATTTTTAGTGTTGCTTTGGATATTATAGTTACTTCAATGTTTGGCATCTAGTGATAGTTTTGGGTTGTTCTTGGCACTGGTTTTGTTGGTTGATCTTCATGTTTCTGGAAAATTTTATGGAATTGTAGTTCACTCATTGTTAGTGGCTTGTTTCTGGAAGCTGTGATATGAGTGGGTTGTAAATTGCTGTTAAATGCCGAAAATGGATACTATGGCATTACATTGCTCGCTCAATTGTTGACAATTTGTATTGTTTGTAATATGTTGCTTCTTCTCCAAGGTAGTTGGAACTTGAAGCTTAACAACCAAGTGCCCATAGTAGAAAATATCTAGGGAGAGTCAAGAGTTTAACAACCTTGTTCTCCTTAACCAGACAAAATAGGGTGTTTTCTTGCCCAAGAAAGGCTTCAGATTACACTCGGGAGCTCGTAGCTTAACCGCCTTGCTTCCAACAAAAAGATTTTCCGAATAAGTGAAGAAGAATGACAATAAAGATAAAGAACAAGAGAAAAAAACTCTTGAAGAAAAGAAAAGTTGCAGAAAGCTTCTTTCAACAACAAAAAAATTGTTCAATGTACATGAATTCTAGCTCACAGTTATAACTCACTAGGCTTGCAACATTGTTCGATCAACTCTCAAATCACAAGGTGAATTTCAAGAAGAGTGAAAAAGCAAGGTGAATGAAGGAAAAAGAAGAAGAAGACACTATTTTCTTCTGGATGCCATGCTAATTATTTTTTTTCCAAGAAGCAGCAGGAAAAATGTTAGAAATATAATATAATAGAATAATTGGAATTGGTTTAGTCAAAATTAACTGGGTTTGTTAAAGGTTGGTTAGTTTGTTAGATCAAATTGTTAAACTTGGTTTAGTGGTGCTATATAAGTAATGTTTATAATGGGTTAAAGACACAAGCATTTTGTAATTCATTTCTTCACATTCAGTAAACAAAGTTGTCTCTTTCACAGCTTCTCATTTTCATTCAGTGTCATTTACCTTCCGTTCATCTTTTGGTCACTATGTCTCCTTTCTCACACAAACACATGAGATGAGATCAACAACCTACTTTTACGTTCGAAGAAGAGGGTAGAGGTTTGACCTAATCCCAAGTTGAATGATTGAGCCATAGGTGAAAAACAGGGAGAAGACTCAGCTCGAGGACTTATCAAAGGAGAAATAGAACCAGGCAAGACGGTGAACCCATCGTATGGATCAACAGAGTTGAAGACCCATAGTTGATCCTGAGAAACAAACCATACGCCTAAAACCCATCCCGTCTTTACATGGCTTAGACTGATAGCCACGTGCAAGTCTCTGTACGATCATAAGAGCAACCAGGGCTGCCCCAAACCCAAAAGTCCAGAATCAGACTTGGCAGAAGGTTCGTTTGAACGCTTCATCCAAGTAAAACGAGTTAATGTTATCAGTGAAGTGGTTGCAGAACACCTTGTACTTGAGAGGAGAATGAACATCAACCGTTAGATCATCAACAAGGTCATGACTCAGGCCAAGTGTTTTTTATAGTTAAAAGATGCTACTTGCATGCTCTAAATGACAATAAATTATTTGATGGTCTCGGCTCACCATATCATCCGTAGTCTCAATGAATAACATTTATCCACATCATTTTTAAAGTGAATTTTTACCTCTTTCCTATATGTAAATAAAATGTGGGTGGTTATTTAGAAATTATTTTGACACTTGTGGTTGTCATTCACTGGACCATGGATGAGGTGGTTAGTCGGGTCCATGAAATAATTTCTCCTGACTAACATATAAAAAATTATTAAATTTATCTGAATTTAAAAATCACTTAAATATTATTTATTAAGAAGAGTTAACATTTATTTTTTTTGTATTTTTATTTTTATTTATAAATGAAGGAAAATTTATTTGCATTTGTTATTTTTGATTTCAATGAATAAAAAAAATCTATTTTTCATACTTGATTGTTTTCTTCTTTGAGTTATTTATCTTTTTCAAGTTGAGATTTCAATCAAGTCATCAAGTATTTTATTTTACTTGAAAGTAGTTTTTTAAATATGTTTCAAGTGAATTTATATATATATATATATATATATATATATATATATTATTTCAAATATCTATTTTTATTATGCAAGTTCACGAATTTTCATCTCTAAAAATAAAAATTTAGACAATATATATATATATATATATATATATATATATGTATATGAAAATATTTCAAAACGTCTCTAAGTATCTTGATTATATAGATACATTTCTAAAAATTATTGATTAAATTTGTATATTACGTGAGTTTATTATAAAATTGTATTGATATATTATATAAAAGACTAGATAATTTTTTTTTTTTTGAAAATGAGAATTTTAAGGATTTATAAAATTTTCTTATATTAGTATGATGTTTTGATATATAAATATATAATTTATATTGATAAAAACACTAAAATATTTAGTTAATATATACATTTTTTAAAATGGTCCCATCATAAGATAATGTTGAGTTTTGTCATTCGCTGTTTTGGGGAAGATTAAAGGTTGAGAGTGTGTATTTTGGGATTAATTAAATTTCTAAGTTTTTTAAATATTGAGGATTTATTAAATTATTTTAAATTAGCATCCATTTGATAAAATGTGTAATTTATAGGGAGTAAAACTATTATTTTAGCTAGGAGTGAGTAAAACTTGTTTTGACTCGGAAAATCAAATTTTATATTTCAATTTCGAATTATTCGAGTCAACTAGAATTATCAATTTGATTTTCGAGTTCGATTGAGTTGAAATTTTGAGTTACTCAAAAAATCAAAATTTTAACTAAATATTTTGACAATTTTACGATTTAGTCTATGATTTCATTATTCATTCAATTTTGCCTTCATTTTAAGTCTATCATGTTTCTAAACCATCATAGGATACATATGTACTTTCAATTCTTCTTTTTGATAATAATTTTTCTATTTTTTTAATTTAGTCCCTTAATTTTTCATTATTTCTTTTATTTCTTCAATTCATCATTTATTTTAAGTCCACTTTTACCAAATTTGAATCACATGCTCATACACCATTATAGAATGCATATGTAACTTCAATTCTTATTTTTTTTAACTAAAATGTACTCTCTCTTTTATTTATTCCCTTAACTTTTCATTTTACTCAATTTGGTCTTTTGACTGCAATTGTTTGTAAATTCTTTCTTCCCATCAATTCCTTGACTACTTTATATTCTCAACAACATTTTACCCTCAAAATACTTTTTTTAAAATATAATATGTGAATATATTTTATAATTTTAGATTGTATTTGATATATTAAATAACATTATAATGTGAAAAGAATATGAAATATATATATCATATATGGTTAGAGAAAGTCAAAAAAATTGGAACCAATCCTTATCATTATACTATAAATAATTATAATAAAATTAGCACAAAAACTCAAATAACTCGACTCGAAAAAATTTCAAGTTAAGTTCGAGTTGTAAAATACGACTCCTCAACTCGAACAACTCAAATTTTTTTTGACTCTGCTCGATCGAATGATCACCTCTAATTATAGCATGTCGCGTCACCATTTTTTTTATGTCATAAAGGTAGGTGACTAAAACAAAAACAAAACATAATTTTAGTTATGATTTTGAAAACAAAAATAGTTGAATGAATGACCAAAGAATAAATGCGAGGATAGATGAGTGAACAAATGAGTTGTTTACCCGAGTAGTTTTTCAATGGCCGCTCGTTTCCACTCTCTTTAAAATGCCATTTTATTCACTGTCGAGCTTCCCCTAAAACCCTAGTCGTTCGACGCCACTAAAACCTTCGTTCCACTAGTTTCTTTCATCCATGGAGTTCTGGGGTAAGCCACTATTCCCTTTACATGTTGAAGCTCTGGGCTTTTGCTTCCACTTTTTGTTTCTTCTTTTATGTTGTTGATGTTGCCGCTTTCTTGCAATAATATTTTATTTTACTTAGTTCTCTTCGATTTTATGTTCATGTTTCTTTTGTTTTTCTAAATGTTGTGGTTTTTGTTTCGATTTTATGCTTGATTGTTTTGGGTGTACTGCTCTGAACATTGGTATGATACAACATATGTTGATTTTTTTTAAATGTTGTTCATTGAAACACATTTCAGCAAATGTCGGGTGGCTAGTAGATTTTGCATTCAATTCATTTTGTTGTCTTTGAATGAAAGCTTGTTGCAAAAGATCATATACTTATGTTTATATCCAAACAAGATTTTGTGCCAGGGGTATGAGCTTTTAAGAAGTTATATTAGAAATTTAAATGTTGCGAAATTATACATTTTGAGCGATTTCGAATTAGATCAATAGAAAATATAAAGAAATACCTAAGCTATATGAGAATTTCAAATTTCTGGGGCTCAGTCCATTGTCCAAACCCTAAAGACCCTGTTTGCAACTATGTGATTCTGTCTTTATATTTATGACATTGGACTCGTAGTTTGGGTGATTGATTAATCTTTAAGTTATTTGTAGGTATTGAAGTTAAAGCAGGAAAGCCTATTAAAACAGACCCTGGTGCCAATCATGTTATCCATCTATCCCAGGTTCGAAAAGATTTACTTGAAAAAGTTCATATGCTTTTCGATTATTGTTTTTGTTTTTGTTTGTTTGCATTTATCTTCAATGATGCTTGTATTTAGGCATCCCTTGGTGAGTTGAAGAACAAAGCGGAGTCTGTTCCACTCTATGTGAATGTTGATGGGAAGAAACTTGTTCTCGGAACACTTTCCCACCAGAATTGCCCTCAATTAAACTTTGATTTAGTATTTGATCAAGACTTTGAGCTCTCCCACAACTGGAAAAACGGAAGCGTATATTTCCTTGGTTACAAGACTGTGGTGCCAGAGGAAGGATATCCATTTGTTACTATGAATTATTTATTAATTTTGATAACCATACTTGTTCTTCATGAAAGTGAAGTTTGCTTGTGCAATGTTGTGCTTCCTTGACTTTAGTGCTGTCTTTTGCCACCACGGATGACAGATTCGGTGAGTATTGTTATATGTTTGGCCTACTTTCACTCTTGCAAATTGGTTTGATAAAGTATTTCTCATGCATATTATTCTTATATACAGATAGTGAGGAAGAAAGTAGCGATGATGAGCTTCCTGTGGCTGCTGCTGAAAATGGTTAGTTCTCATGTACTGTAATTTATGTCACATATCGAAGATTTTATTAACTTCTATTTTTAAACTGGCAAACATTTTACTCCGTCCCAGGAGAACCTAAGACTGATGCTAAAACAGCCAAGGCTAATGCTGGGAAACCCGAAGCTGTAAAAAAACAAGCTGTAAAGATAGCAGAACCAAGCAATAAAAAGAAAAGTGAGGATGATGATGATAGTGATTCTGAAGATGGAAGTGGTTCTGATGATGAAGATGACTCTGAGGATGAAGACGAGGTATTTCCCCCCTCAAACAAGGCAAAAGCTTTACTTCATTAATTCTTGTAAACAGATGCTTTTCCTTATAGTATTACTTATTCTGAATGGTCAATTGATTTGGACAGATTTCTATGGATGATAGTTCAGATGATGAGGATGAGGATGAAGAGACCCCTAAGAAGGTACATTCCGTAGATTTAAGCAATATTTGATTGTTTAATCTGGCCTGACCCTGATTCATTACATACAATTTTATGTCTTATGTTTCCAAGGCTGAGTCTAGCAAAAAGAGACCGGCAGAAGCTTCCACTCCTGTTTCTGCAAAGAAGGCAAAGTCTGCAGCAGCTACACCTCAGAAGACAGGTCTTTCTCGTAGTTTACAGAAGACTCTGCAGTATCATCGATCATTTCTCCATCTTTTTGGGAATGGTTAACTAGGATTGGGTCATTCATTCATTTACGATCTTCTGATTATTGTTCATTGCTGTTGACAGATGGTAAGAAGGGCGGTCACGCTGCAACACCACACCCATCGAAACAAGCTGGGAAATCTTCTGGAAAGAGTCCCAAGTCTGGTGGTCAATTCTCTTGTGGATCTTGTAAAAAGTAGTTAGCTACAACTTTCGAAACTGCTTCCGATTTTGATCGAGTTTGCTTGCTTTACTAACTCCCTGCTTTATTAACAGGTCCTTTGGTTCAGAGGGGGGCCTAGAATCCCACAAGAAGGCCAAACATGGTGGCAAATGAGCTTGATTCCAACGTGGTTTTGGTAGATTATGTTTTTCCTAGTAAATGAGGGATTCGGGTTTTTTTTAATTTATTTAAAAAGAAGTCTCTTTGAGGCCCTTATTTAAGACTCTTAAGCTTATAATTTTGGCCATTATGTGTAGGTCGTTATGCTGTGGATCTCTATCTATTTTAATTTATTAAATTGAAGATTTATGTTTTGCCCAAGGGTTGCATGTCGATGTTTTATTATACTATCAGCTGGGACAATGAAAAACATTATCTCAAATGAAAAAAATCTCAAATTCCGCATGATTTTACAGAGGACTAACCAGCCATACATCCGACGTGTATCAGCATTTGGACCACAAAGGCCTTTAGTAATACTTTTGATAATTAACTATAAATGTAAGACTTAAGTAATTAGCTATAAATGTTGATAATTATTTTAAATTCAAATTTGTTAAATAATATCATGTTACGTGAGATGAAACTTAGAGTAAAAAAAAATTCGAGTTATTCAAGTTGATGAGTCATATTTTATAATATTATAATATTTTTTATTCCAATTTAAATGACTTTTTATAGCCATAAATACAATACAAATACATTTTTTTCATATGTGATATACATATATCATACAAAATTGAAGGACTCGACTCAAACTTGAAAATAAATCCACTAATTACCAATAATTTTGAGTTATTCGAGTCGCATTTTACGATTTGAACTTGAAATTTGCAATATATAAGTTTTATGGGTAAATTACAAATTTACTCACTAGACTATACTCTCTATTCTAGTTCATTCATTTTACTTTTAGTGTTTTTAATTTAATCACTAAACTTTATACATTAAATTTTTTTGGCCACTCCTCCGTTAATTTATTAACAGAGTGATGACATGGCATTTTGACTAAAAGTTTTTCTACTTGTTTCAACTTTTGTCATTGGTGTTCACTATCACCATTTTCTTGCACTCATCCAAGGTGCAACTCTTCCCAAGCCTCTTGAACATCTTCATCACTTCTTCTACCCTTATTTTTCTATTGGAGTTGAGATGGAATGTGCGGAAATCATTCTGAATAGTCATCATTGTTACGAAGTCCTTGAAACTGATAATCCCGGTTCCATCAAAATGGACCACCCAAAAGATCCTAAATACATATTCAGCCTTGTTTCCTTGCCATAGAACCCTTAACATGGCCTTGTACTCCATCTGAGACATCTTCCCATCTTTGTCGGAATCAAACTTATCAAAAACTTCCCTAAGCTCATTTAAGTCGGATTGGACAGCAGTTCACAACCCTGCATCTCTTGCCTGTCTCTGGAAAACAAGTGTGATGGTTTGCGCAAGGAACTGTTTTTCAAAAGCTTACATTAGAATCCAAGAAATCTATCATTCATTGGATAAGAATGTTTGGGTATAATACATTGTGGGTGTTCCTTACTTTCTTTAGTGGAGTCCTAGATATGAGTTTTTGATGGATGCAACTACATGCTTTTTTGCAGCTATGTGGAGATAAAACCTTGAGAAGTTTTTGTATCTCTGTCTTCTAGAGCAGTTGTAAACCTCTATGAACTGCATTGTTGACTGAGAACTTAGATTGCTTAATCTTTTTACTATTTTATACTTCACATATATCTTGAGTGGGTTACAAACTTGGAAATGGCCGGAGGGGCTTACTAATTATTCAATGAGCATCGTGGATTGATGCTGCGGAACATAACGATGAAAAGGTGACCCCATGGTCTCAGAAAATGGGGCCTCACACGTCCCCAAATGATGGGGGTGTTGCATAAGGGGATCCCTATGTGCGTCGTTCCATGTTAAAATTTTATACATCAGATCATATCACAAAGACACCCAGTTGAGCTGATTTCCCCCACCAAACAATTCTTGTATCTCTTTGTCTCTTTACAATCAGTCTTTCTTTAAAGATCCGGTCTTTAATTGAGAAAATGGAATGAACTTTTTTTTTTTACAAGGACAATTATTGAAAGAAAATTATGCAAATACCCCCTAAATTGTCAGTTTTGTAACTGCAAATTAACTTGTCTTTCATTATCGGTCCTTTTCTTCATTCATGGTATTTTCGGTTTGCCACTTTGCTTCACGCTGTCTTTTCCTTTTCTTTGAAATGAATAACTATGAAGAAAGCTGCAACTGTTTTGCACGGTGGTCCTGGAGACAAATTTCTTAAATGAACGGCTGCAACAAACAAGGCCAGCCACTGGCTTTTTTTCTTCTTTTTTCTTTTTCAATCCAAGGCAGAATTTCCCCACATAAATTAGTGCTGACTGACACAACATGGCTGTTCCATTTATAATGCAATTTTTATTGGTTTGAAGGACCATGTGCTTCGCAATAATAATGTCATATTGCCCATGGAATCATACTATTCACTCTCACTGTCACACCCTAACTTAGGGCCTAATTTTTTTTTAAATTCTTCCGATGACTAAATTAAAATTTTAATTAAATTCGGAGGCCAAAGTGAAGTTTTGATTAAATTCATATACAAATTCAAAAGGTATCAAAAACTAGAAGACCTATGGTGTAATTTTACCATTTTTATTTTTAGGGAATATATAATACCAAATTTAGAAAGTTTCCTCATTTAAAAACCCCATTCTCTCCCTATTCAAGTTTTTTTTTAGCAAGAAACTTCAATCGTCATTTCGCCGCCGATCGTTCCTTCATTTTCGACACCTCTTGCATCATCGTGTTCCTTACGTTATCCCGAGTCCACTGATGTCCATCTTCTTTCTGTTGTCGCCGGCGTGTGAGGGGTGAGAAAGGTTAAGTTTCCGACGTTTCAAAATCGAGCTCTCCGCCGTTTACCACTGTGAACCGAGGTTTGTAAGTGTCTCAAAACCCCTTAAAATATATTACGAAATATTTTTCGTACTTTTTCTGACCCCGTAAGGCCCCGCACGCGCCACCGTTGCGAGTGGGAAAATTCTACTGCCTGATGGGCTGCTTGATAATGGGCTGACCCGATTCAAACCGAATCGGTCAGCCGTTAACCGTTGACTATTAACTGTTGACCGATGTTGACTTTTTTTTAAAACCTCCATCTTAATGTTTTATGACATATTGATTCCGATTCCACAATTCGTTTTACCAAATTCTGACCCGAAAGCCCCAAATCGAGCCCGTTAATATGAAAATGCTTAGTAATTTTAGCATTTTTTGCTTATTTATTTGGGATTTAATTATGGAATTGATTCGAGATTATATTTTTATGAAGGTACTCGTGTTTTACCAGTTCGAGGATCGGTTAGATCCGATGCTTCCCGTCCGTCAGATCTAGATGATCTACATTCTTTGAGAGTTACTCGTAGGTATATGTAAATTGTTTAAATATGGGTTATTATTATTCATATTAGGATTTCGATATGGATTTTCTGATTCGTAGGATCTAGCGCTGCTGCTGATCGTGATTGACAGACTCAGTAGTAGGCTTTCTTATCAGACTACTCAGACCGGTACATATATGTTTCTTGATGGTGTTACATTATTGTTTTAAACTATTAATATGAATTGTTTTAGATTTATGATAATACTGAATATTTTTATGACATGATACATGATTTTCTGAATATTGTTTATCTGATATCTAATTTATTGTACATTTCTGATATGATCTTTGATTTTTGTATTTCTGTATATGATTTCGGAGTCTGAAATATTTTCATGTTTTAATAGATTAAATTATCGTTTTCACTCGAATACATATATGTTTATTACTGTCATTGGGGGTATTATTGGAGGAAGTATATCAGGCCTAGTCTATGACTTGTAAGACCCTACTCTGTTTTGTGCTCAGGATAAGTCCTTACCGCAGGCTTCTCTGCTTTGTACTTAGGGTAAGTCCTTATCTCAAGTCCTTATGCTATATGTATAAGGCAATACCGGGAGTACAGGTGGGTGTATGGTTCTGGGGAACCTACACATTCTAGTAATCGGATAGAGTAGTGGTTATATTTTTAAATATGTTTTATAAACTATTTTTTTACTGAAGTATTTTATCTGTATGTTTTTATACACCGTAAGGAGCACATTGGGCTTTTTAGCTCATTGTGTAAATTCTAACTTTTTCATATAGTAATAGACCGTAAGCTAGCAGACTTGGCATCAGGAGAACCAACTACTCCTATTTTTGTACTATTGTATATCTTTATATGTCTTTTTTTTATACTTTGGTCTCACGTGTTTTTGCTACCATCTCGATATATCTGTATTACCGGTATTTTATTTTTGTATATGTTTTATACGGTTTTCTGATATATATATATATGTTTATCGTATGAACAATTCTTATGACTAATTTCATATTATACTGTTATATGGATTTTAACGTTGTTTTAAATATGAAAAGAAATTTCTGAATACGATATGTAGCCGCCTAGATTTAGATATAAAGTTCAGGTCGGGTCTTGGGATTACACTCACTACATAGTTTGCACCAGTTAAGGCTCATAATCTCATCAACATTGTCCGTGAGTATATACCATCATGAACGGATGTAAGATTTTATGTTGAGAGATTAATTTATAAAATTTTACCAATAAAAATAGATTATCAATAAAAAATATCTAAATTATATACGAACTTCAAATTTTCAAGGTACGACCATCCTCATTAACTCCCTCAGTTCATCCCTATAAATCATGGAAGATGAAAAATGAAGTTAAGGAAATAAAAAAAAAAGAGTGATTATAGAGGGCAGTTAATGCCTGAAGAATCTTGTTTTTTTTCCCTTTAAACAAACTGTCAGAAAACTTAATTTGGAAGTTTCTCTTAATCTGTGGCGTGCAATTAATAATACAATTATTGTTGTACCAATCCTTCAACATTTACTTAAAAAACAGATTTTGCAGGCCTCCCACTTCACTCAAGTGAACTTCAACCTACTCTCTCTATTATATATAAGGCAGCACCATATATATATATTATCCCTTTTTGTTTATTTGTCCCCCTCTTTTTCTTTTGAAGTAAAAGTAACAAAAAGAAAAGGATTGGCTGAGATATAATGAGGCTTGTACATAAAGTAACATGCATTCAGAAAAGAAATATGATAAATTAAAAGAATCCAGAAATCATAATTTCATCCCACAAGCTGCAAATGATTGGGACATGACATATAAGGTTTATCATTGAAATTGTTTCTATATTAACTTTCCTAGCGATAAAGTGTCTGAAAATTACAGATCTAGAAATGATTGTTGGAAGTTTTCAGGTCTGAACAGCTTAGAAAAAGCTTAATCCAATGTTCAGATGGATACAATATTATACGTTTTATTTATTTATATATTCTTAAAGAAAGGAGGAAATTGAGGTCAATGCTTGAACTCCAAGATAAATTAAGTGTGGCATCCATGTTACTTTAGCAACAAGTTTATTTTCAGTAATTTGATTTGTAGCTGTACTTTACATGATTTCAGGATCTGTAATAGCTTTTTACAGTTGTATTAACGTGAGAAAGAAAAGAAAATCCTGGGAATGTATGAAAGAAACAATAGGCAAATGATGTCAGAGGGGGAACCCAATGTTCTCATTAATAGTTTCTAATCTCTTAATAATGCTGTAATCATGGTCTGGGAGAGCAATCTATAAAAGGATGGGACCATATTATACGAAAGCAGAGCGATTAAACTGCAAACTTAAACAAAACATAGGGACCAAAACCATAACTTGACCAAAGAACTCTATACTATTATAACTGAATCATGCAGAGACTGGGATTTGATAAATTAACTAACTGTGATTACAAAGTTCACCCTTCTATTCGTCACTTTATTCCCCTTGAAAATGCTCCAGTAAAACTAACAAATGAAGAACCCCAAAAAGAAAAAATTCTCACAATTACAAGCGAATTGTCTAAAGACAACTATCCAAAAGCATGTTTTTTTTGTTGTTGTCCTTGACTCGTATGAATATATATTGGCAATAACAACACTTCTTTGTTTTGCTGCTGAAGATTTCCATCAACAGCAATCTTCTTGAGGGAGATTTAGCGAAAGTGCTGAATATGTTGAATGAGCTATTTCTGTTTGAAAATCAACTAAAAATAACTTATAAACTGATATTTTGCAGTCCAGTTGTTGCAGATAAACTTTTCCGCTTGAAATGTTTTACTAAATGATGGTGCCGACGTAGCCGATCCCGGTGATGAAGAAGCTAAAGGTTTGCAGGAAGAGGTATACGAAGTAGTGGTTCTTCCCGTTAACAAGATCGTAGCATCCGCAAACGAAGAGGAAAGCGGCGAATCCAAGCTCCAAGGTATTCAGTCTGTCGATGGAACACGAACCGGAAGTTAGATGTATATGGTTCGAAATAAGTAGGACGATTCGGTTTAAGAGGGATGACATGTTTTTTACCTATCGGTGAATTTGAATCGAAACTTTCTGATTGATTTGGCGTTGTTCTTGTTCTTAGCAGCATCTGCTGCTGCTTTCTTGACAGCATCTCCGAGTTTCTCAGTGACAACCCATTCATTGGCTCTCCCTGCCTCGAGGAGACCGATAAATGTCGCCTTTGTCCGGTGCAACGACATCACGTTCTCGAACAGAATCCAATAAAACAATAGGTGGATCGATCTGCAAGAATTACCAGAAAAAATTGTATGCATAAATAAGATAAATCACCATAGGAACAATGTAGGCCGATGCGGCCATCGACATACCTCGGAGTTCCGACAGAGTTTAGAATTGTGATGACTGAAGGAATGTAAACGGCTCCCCAGATTGGGACTTTAACTTCAGGGACCAAAATGGTAAGGGGAAGAACAACACAGTAAAAGGAAAATGTGACCATATGAGCAATGATCTTTCGTACGAAGAAGAAGCTGTAGATCACATATACTTTCTTCCAGAATTTCACTTTCTGCGAAACAAATTAACGGCGTTAAGATATAAACCGAGATGTGAAATTTCTAAAATACGATTCGCAGTAAATGTACCTTATTTTGAATGATTTCCCACGCCATTTTCCTGAACAGATTTGCAGGGCCGCAAGACCATCGATGTTGCTGGAACCGAAATGCCTTGAAAGTACTAGGAAGTTCGCTTTTCACTTGAAGGTCACCGAGGTACACGAATTTCCACCCCCGGAGACTAGCTCTGACGGCGAGGTCCATGTCCTCCACGGTGGTTCGATCCTTCCAGCCACCGGCCTCGTTAATGGCGGCAATTCTCCAAATACCAGCAGTCCCTGCATTCGGTTCATCCATACAATCTTAAGTGATTCACTAGTGTAAATTCACGTAGCCATCGGCAGAATCAAATAAAACACTTAAATTTGTTTACCATTAAAACCAAAGAAAGCATGTGTTGCTGATCCAACTTCCTGCTCCACTGTGAAATGGTAATCCAACGACATCTCCTGCATTCTTGTTAACAAGCATTCATCCGCATTCACTGCAAAATAAATACGGATATTCTTATATTCATTTTACACTACGTATCGATTTGTTTTAAAGATTTTATGATGATTCGAATACATATGATTATCGTTTCCATTGTATTTGTATTTGAAGGCATTAATTAGTCAGTTAACTAAGCTGGTAAAAACAAAAGAGAAAGACGTTTAGACCTTTTTGTCCTCGTGTGGTCCAAATTATAATGCTACACGTCACACAACAACACGAGGGAGCATCTAAAATCTATGCAACTCTGACTCTGACTCTCATATATTTTATACAATTTTATTACTTCCTTCAATCCAAACAAAAAATTCTACTGCTATTCTAATTTAATTTAAAAAAATAAAAAAAATATCCAGGTGTCGGTGAAATCCAGTTATGACTCACCGCTTAGGAATATATAGTACTGCCCGCACCTTAGCTTTATCCTGTGACCCTATTTCTTTACTTGTGAAAGGTTAAAACGGCACGTGGAAAGTGGATTGGCTGTTATTGGTTTGAAATGACTATTTTGACCCGCAAGCCACTAGAGGAGTAGGGACTTAGAGACCACGTGACTTGTTCAATCTGGGTTGTTAATCAAAGGAGCCATCTCCTACCGTTTCTTTTTTTTTTAATTAATTATATCTAAATTATCTGATTTATTTTAATATTTAAGTTTTAAATTTTTTAAATAATATTTAATATTTGTTTCAATTTAGTACCACACTTTTAAAAATTTAATACATTTAGTACTTAAACTATCAGTTTTGATCTATTTTAGTAACTAAAATTTTAAAAAAAATTCAAAATTTAATGTAAAATTTTGAACATGGGTACTAAAATGAATAAAAACTAAACTTTATGTATGATTTAAAAAAATGAAAATTTAGCTATTAAAACATATATAAACTAATAGTTTATGTATTAAACTTGTAATTTATCCTTTTTTTAATTTTAAAAAGACAAAAAGAACCCTAAAATGTCAATGTAATACAGTTTGCTATGAAGAAAATTAAATTAAAAAAAAACCAAAATCATCCATTATCTAAACCCTAATCCTAATAAAAAAGAACCAAACAGATCTTATCTCAAAATTCAAATCAGCAAATATAATTTATTCTAATGTGAAATATTTCTTTCAATGTTAAATTTGAAAAAAATTATAAAAAAATAAGTCACTTGAAGTGACAAAACCACTTCTCAAAATGAAAAATAGGAATAAAATTTCGATATGCTTACTACAATACTAGTACTATTTTCAATTATACTTTTTTTTAGGTGTTATGACACTATTCTATATTCCTAAAGATGGGTCCCATGACCATTGATGAACGGCTGATGATGGTGGTTTATGAGGGGATGGGGTCCACAGCCCGTGATTGGTGGGTATTTTATTGTGGACCCTCCCTTTAACCCTCCATGCAGTCTGTAACCAATTCCGCCGACAAAAAACCAAAAACGCAATTAAAACAACCTAAAACGCAAGAGATAAGACCACCGACAGTTTGAGGAAATTAAGCAGCGAAGCTTAACCCTAAATCAAAATTAATGTCATGTTTAATGGTTAGCTTTACCGAATCTCCAGCGAGCTTGAACGAGAGCAATGTCGGGGTTGTTGACCAAGAACGGTATGCTCCTTCGGAGGAAATCGGGTTCGGGTCGGAAATCGGCGTCCAAAATTGCGACGTATTCACAGTGTTTAACGTAGCTTCGTTTCAAACCTTCTTTTAACGCCCCTGCTTTGTAACCGGTCCGGTTTTCCCTTATTTGGTACGTTATGTTTATCCCTTTGCTTGCCCACCGCTGGCACTCTTGCTCTACCATCATCTGCGATAATCATTGCGCGAATTTGAAGAGAAATGGGTAATTAATCATTGCATTCAATGAGTTTTTCCGAAAAATTTGTATTGGTAAGTGTTTGAAAGTGATGGGTTTTGACTTGCATTACCTTGATTGCAGGGTCAGTTGAATCATCAAGTACTTGGATCACGAGACGATCCGACGGCCATGAAAGTCCACAAGCAGCTCCAATGGAGATCTTGTAAACCTGTTCCAAGGAACAATGAATTCGTCTCTGAAATCCAGAAAGGAAAATACCAAAATAGAGGAGAAAAACACCGATTTACTGACTTCTTTTTCATTGAACATTGGGATTTGGACTAAAACGACAGGGAAATTCGAGCTGCCTAGTTCGACGTCATCTTGAATGGGCTCAAACTTGTAACGCTTCTCTGGTTTTTTCCAGAAAAGCTTAACGAGAATGATGACTATTCCCATGTAAACCCGCTCCATGAAGAGCATAAGCGACATGAGTAAGCAAATGTAGACACCGAGTTGCAGCAAAGGGACTATCAATGGTGCTTTGATCAGCTCCCAAATCAAACCCAGTTGGCCCGTGATATCATCTCTCGACACTTGAAACGACTCCGGAATCAGCAGCTTTGGTGAAATCTGAGCCATACCTGTAAAACCGGGTTTTCCCCCGTTAAACAAAATATGACCGAAAAAGGCGTTTTCTTATTCTAAAACATGAAACCTGATCAATAACAGAATTCAAATCTGCTGCTGCTCCCCTCTTAAATCTCTCATACAACATGTGCCGGCCAATGTAGCTTACGTTTTCTTAATATGGAAAACGAAAGAAAAACGAGGGCAATGCGAGAGAGAGAGGGAGAGAGACAGATGAAAAACAGGGCAATGGAAAGATGGATGATGAGAAACAGAGGGCTGGTGTGTTTTTATAGTGAGATTCGGTCCCATTTTTGGATTTTTAATTTCAGTCTTTCCTTTCTCCTATTAATTTTCTTTTGGAGCATAATAGTTCAGTACATTAACTGTTCCAACTAGGGGGAGTAAATGACACTTTTATTAGTCCAGACAACCAAACAACTTTGTGAAAAAAATATACTACAAACGACCCAAAATTAAATATACAGATATAAAAAATGGTACCTAATTTATTAATAAATTATTTTAGTTTTTGGTACCTAATTTATTAATAAATTAGTTTGAATCAAATTTTGTAGAATCTTATTATGAGAATAATTATAACTCAATTTATTCTATTTATAAACGTCGTGATTTGAATTATCTAATGTATCATTCCATTAGACTAATTAATTGTTGGTTCTATGTTTACCTGCAGTCATTTCTTCTACTAATGTATTATTATAATTTTGAATTGATTTATAGTTATTTTTTATTTTTATGTTATAAAAATAAATATTTTATATTTTAAATAACAAAAATAATTTAAAAACATTATATAAAAGTATTAGATATTTTTATTTTTTTAAATATTAATTTTCTAAATATATATTTATATATAAAAACAACTTTAAAACTTTAAATAATATAAAAATAAAATAAAGTCATTTTTTAAAATAATGTCTATAAAATTAAAATTAAAAATTAATATAAAAAATTGAAAAGCGAATATATTGCAGAATCAAATCCAAATATCCCTATAGAGAACAGTGGAAAGATGGTTTCGTCTTATTGAATTACCGAAATAGTCCTTGTAGAATAAAAATTTGCATTACCCTTTTAAAATATGGATGTGTCATTATGTAAATTGACTGATGAGAAAAGCCAAAACAAGCAAGAAATCACTTTTACCTTTTATAAGAAAATTCTCATTACTTCTTTTACGTAAGAAAATAAAAGGGGAAGGTTGAAGAAGAAGGGTTTAACTTAAGCTGCCTCCTCTGGCAAGAAACCATCATCAGATTATTAGTTAAAAATTACAGGAGACGAATCAAAAATCTGGACTTTTCTTTACCCCAAGAAATTAATAATATTATCAATTTGAACATACTCATAATATTATAAAAGTATAACATCAAATTATATCTAATTAAAATGGAAGACAAAATTTTCATCATAGTAAGAGGACTAATTCCGTAATTAGACCAAATCAAATTATCAAATGCAATTAGTGAGTCACCATACCCAAAACCATTCTTCGGTTCCTACTTTTTTTTATGACTAGAAATAGCTTATTCTTCTTTCCTTTTCTTTTTCTCAATTTTGCTTTTTTTAGTGCCTTAACACCTTGAACTCAAATCCCAAATATGCTTAACAAGAAGAAATTACAACACAAACTACCATTTATATAAGCATATGTAGCATATGATTTCATGCTTTTTAAACAAGTAACCTTTACTTTGGTGACATTAATGTAGTAAATTAGGGTTTTTTAAACACCATGAATGAATGCCTTTTACGTTGTCCTCAAGAAAGCTTAAAAGACTATTATTTCATGTTATATGGATTGATTAAGGAATTTAATATGAATGCGTCGAAGAAAAAATGATTCAATGATAAATCAGTAGCAATGTACGCAAATAACGTCCAGAGAACGGTTTATAGTTTGAAAATAATTAGGAGGGAATAAATATAATTAGTAGGAGTATCTCTATTTATAAATATTTCAATTATAAAAGTTGAAATCCTTAATTATTTTATGGCTTGTGGTCAGAGGTTATGGGGTTAGGGTTTAGGGTTCAATGTTTATAAAACCCTAAACCTGACTTAGAATTTATAATTTAAGATTTTAAGTTAGGAGTAGAGTATATAATGATGCAATAAATAATTTTGAGGGTTAAATTAAAACGAAAATACGATAAGAGTGAAAATGATAAATTAAATATACCACATAACTAAATTAAACCTTATATTAATGTCTAACCAAATTGTCTTTTTCATTTAAGTTCGTATTGTTGGAATTCAATAAATACGGTTTGAAATATTTTATAACTAAAACATGTGAAAAATGAAATATTACGAATGACTCTTTGAATATTTCACATAAAAAGTCTATTACGTTGATTTTTTTCCCATTTTAATTGAAAACTTTGATTGGTCCAACAACTATTACAATTACTCTGTTACAAAGAAGAAAACAGTGTGAGAAATGATCATTGGATGCTTTATTATTAGACCCATATAAAGTGACGTGAGAAAATAGTCTAATAAACAAGACTTACGTAATTTCCAATCATAATAAAAAACGATGAATAATATATGGTGGGCTCGTTTGTACTTTTATACGTGATTTCTCCGCACATAATGCCACTCGACCAGGCGTTTAAGTTCCATCAACTTTTTAACCTAATTTCACACAAACTTCTCTTCCAATCGACTTCAGTCCCCTGCTAGTGGCTGCCGCATGCCTCTGAGTCGAAGGAGTGTAGAGCGGTGTGAGCTGCTTCTCTCACCAAAATAATACTAATAATTAATTGTTGCGGAAGACGACTATTGGATAGAGCAAAATCGCAACTAATAATTTGAGAAAATAAAAATGAAGATAAAATATACACAAAATTTACGTGGAAAACCCCTAAATAATATAGGGTAAAAACCACGAGCAACGGCAGAAGAATTTCACTATGAGAAAATAAGAATTACAACTCCTCTCGATCTACCAAGGAGAAAACAATGATAATTCTCTCTTGATAAAAAAGGAGAAAATAACTCTCAAGAAACTCTCTAAATTCTCTAGTATTGGAAGAAAGCTAGAATGCTTTAGGATGATTTTGAAGCTAAATGAGCTAGGGTATTTATAGTTGAAGCTTAAGAATTAATTTGTAAATACCCTAAATTTTTAATGACTAAATTGTATAATTTACCCTTTAGCAAAATTCAACAAATGCTGCTAATTTTCGGTGCAAATTGCAACGAAAGGTTTCCTCCACTGAAAGTCCTTTGACTTTTCAACAATCTTCCACTTGAAGATTTGATTGGAACAATCATATCTTCACATCATTTTTTCTACCTTTTACCATCATGTTACTTACGTCTCTGACAGGCCACAAGAGGATCGACACCAAGTAAATTTATTAGCATTGATCGTCTTCGTCATGAAATCTGCTATGTTGTCTTTGGTATGGATCTTCTGCATATCTACCGTTCATTCTTCCACCTTTTCACGAATGAAATGGTATTGAACTCGTATGTGCTTTGTCCTTGAATGAAATGCTGGATTCCTTCCTAAATGCAATGCGCTTTGACTGTCACAAAACATAGAGACATACTCTTAATTTTTCCCAAGCTCCTCCAATAGCATCTTCAACCAAATTGCTTCTTTACTGGCTTGTGTAGCTGCTAAATATTCTGCCTCTGTTATGGATGTAGCCACAACTGACTGCAATTTTGAAACCCAGCTTACAGCTCTACCAATAAATTTGAACACATACCTTGTAGTAGATTTGCTTTTATCCAAATCCACTGCATAGTCAGAATCTACATACCCATTGATTAGTAAGTTTGATCCTCCATAACATAATGCAACATTTGAGGTCCCTTTGATGTATCTCAGGATCCTCTTTACTGTATTCTAATGCTCTTTGCCTGGATTTGCCATGTATCGACTAACCACTCTCACTGCTTGTGCAATGTCTGGTCTTATGTATATCATAGCGAACATTAAACTTCTCACTGTCGATGCATACGGTACTCGAGACATCTCCATCATCTCTTATTCACTACTAGGACTCATACTGGAGGATAATTTGAAGTTAATAGGAAGAGGGGTAGAAATTGGCTTACAATCTTGCATGTTGAACCGTGACAATATCTTTTTCAAGTAATTCTTTTGTGAAAGCCAAATCTTCCTATTACTTCTGTCTCGGTGAATTTGCATCTCTAGAATCTTGTTTGCTGATCCCAAGTCCTTCATTTTAAATTCCCTAGCCAGTTGTGCCTTCAATTCTTCAATATAATCTTTGTTGGGTCCTGCAACCAACATGTAATCCACATACAACAGTAATATAACAAAATTGTTATCACCAGACCTCTTGAAATAAGCACAAGGGTCTGCATTAAGTCTGTTGTATCCAAGGCACATAATGAAGGAATCAAATCTCTTATACCAATACATCGGCGCCTGCTTTAGACCGTACAGAGATTTGTTCAACCTGCAAACCAAGTTCTTCTTTTCTTTTTCTTCAAAACCTTCAGGCTGGAGCATGTAAATCTCTTCTTCAAGATTTCCATGAAGAAAAGTTGTTTTAACATCTAGCTGCTCTAGATGTAAATTCAATGTAGCACACATTGCCAAGACTACTCGAACTGTTGTTAGTCGAATCTCAGGAGAAAATATTTCATTGAAATCAATACATTCTTTTTGAGCATATCCTTTGACCACCAGTCTTGCGCGATACCTCTCAACTTGATCATCACCATTTCGCTTGATTTTGAAGACCCATTTGTTACCAATTGGCTTCCTTCCTTGTAGTAGCAGCACAAGGTCCCATGTATTATTTTTATGAAGGGCTTCAATTTCTTCTTGCATCGCCATCATCCACAGTGAAACATTTGAGCTGTTTATTACCTCCTGGTATGTTGATGGCTCACCGTCCTCTGTTAAAAGGCAGTATACAATATTACTTTCTATAACATAATCTGAGTGTCAATTGAGACGTCTTCTCACACGATTTGATTGACGAGTTGTTAGAGCTTCAGAACTCTCTGGTTCTTGTTCATCATGTGTTGGTTCTGCTTCATAAGAATCTCCTTGTTTAAACTCCTTTTCCACATGTATATGTGTTATCTCTGACTTTTCAGTGATACCGTCTTTTTCTTTTCTTTGTAGCTTATCTTCTACAAAGATAACATCCCTGCTAATGATCACTTTACGGGCAGTGGGATCCCACAAGTGATACCCCTTTACACCATCAACATACCCCAAGAA